AAAAAAAACAAAAAAAAAACAAGCTAAACTTAACAAAACAAGCCTTTCACAACAACTGGAAGAGATTTAAAGGAAACTAGCTTCTGTAACATATATTTATTCACATTTTGAAGTGTTACAGGTAATGGGAATGATGAAAAAATAAGAGGAAAAAAACGTTTTTTGACTTTAAAAAAACTAGGAGTTAATGTGCTTCATGGGAGATGGAAGCATCTTTTGCAAATAGAATGAAACGAATGTCAAATTAGACAATAAAAACAAATGCAAACAAATAAACAAGATCCTAAGCATGCAATATAGCTGCTTTTCTTTAATATAACAACGTATAAAGTGCATTTGGGACAATGCAGAGTTCCCTCCAGTAGAACGATCAGGACTGGTGCTTTGACCTGACAGGTGTACATGTTTGGGTCCATCAGAGCCCCGTCCACCGATCTGAGGTCACGCCTACACTCACACAGAGTCAATAAATCCTCGCTGTAATGTGGAGCAGGACCGTGTGGGGCCTCAAAAGCAATCAGTGGATGTTTAATTAATTCACAGCATAACCAGCAGAGATTCTAGTGCAGGAGTAACGTCTTCATACGTCTGAGTGTGAGCAGCCGGAGTTATTCAAAGACCTGTTGATATCTGATCTCCTTCACCGCCTCTGTGTTGAACGTTGGCCGTCCTGTTTGTGTTTCACCGACTAATCCCACATATGTCACACGTGTCCATTCATTAAGCAGCTTAGTCGCTGAATTCCCTCCATAGTTTGAGCTGCGTTTGCTTTGATACGTGTGAAGCGTTCAGGTTAACGTCCAACGCGGTCGGCCGCGTCCCGTCTTTCTGCGTGAAGTCGCAGGTTTTTCCCGTTTTTTGCAGCCCGACGATTGCAACAGCGAGAGAAACGAGCAGCTCACATTTCCCAGCGTGGCTCTTTGTCAGACGATGTGATCTGAAAAATGGAAAAGTAGAGAAAGGAACTGAGACACCATTATTATATAAGGGTCATAAAAATAGGACTATTACCATCAAGGACACCATTATAAGAGGGGCATTTATTCATCATCATCATCATCATCATCATCATCATCATCATCATCTGCTGCTGCCTCTGCTCCCACTACCCCACTGCCATTATCGTTTCCCCCTCATCATCATCATCATCATCATCATCATCATCATCATCATCATCATCTACCCTCATCATCATTATCATCATCATCAGAAGCAGCAGCCTCACCATTACAGTCATCATCATTATCATTAGGGCTCAGTAATCATCCACCAGGGGTTTCCATCGGCCGGCATAAAAGGCCAGTCTCCGCTCCCCGCCTTCCTCACTCTGTGCTCCAGCATCTGTGAGGGAAGCTGGTCTCCTTCTTCTTCTTCACGGGCTCCAAGCTTTCCTTCTTCTTCTTCTTCTTCTTCTACCTTCTTGGGGAAAAAAACAACAAACAGTCTTTTCTAGTTTTTGTCGTCTGAAAATCTCAGATGTCGGAATGAAAGCCGACCTCGCTGACAGCGCCGTGAGTATGTCGCTCTGAAATCTGTTTTTTTGTTTTTTTTGTTTTCCGGAGAAGAGAGCTCCTCTGTCCTGGAGTTACCTCGCTCTGTGCTTTCGCTAACCGCTGGGTATTGCTGGTTGTTTTCTGTATTTGAAGAAAGAGTCTCTCAGCGAGTTTCACTAAAAGGTGCCTTCAGGTGTCTCGTTATGACAGTCAGGCTCTGTGAGGAAGTTTAGAGTGTTTCTGTGAAGCTCAGTGCTTTTAAATGTGACTTGTTGTTAATTATTTCATGTTGAAGTCACATTATTTGAGCATATTTTGGTGTTATTGTTCATATCTCAGTGTTTAACTCAGGTAGATGAGGGCTTGTTGTTTCCAGTTTTCATTTTTTTAAATTTCTAACATACAGTCTTTATTCTGAATGCTCTAAACTTTGCCTTTTAATATTTTTGTTGTCATTCAAGTTTCTAATTTGTGTGTTGACCTCTTTTAATTTCTTACTTGATGTAAATGAGGCGTCTGTTTAAATAAAGGTTGAGTGAAGGAATGAACGATTCCCATCCCTTCACCTCTCAGCCAATCAGAAGCTCCCTGCTTTTTTAGTAATGCATTTGCTTGTTTAATTATTCCTTTATTTATTGGTTTATATGTATTTTTACTGCACTTGTTTGTATGTTTATTTCATAATTCGTTAATAATTTATTGTATTTTCATACACGTGTGCTGCACATTTGATTACAGCCGTGGTGCTTCTTCTGTTTTACCAAGTGTGACTGACTAATGACTTTTTCCATTCAGCATCACCTGTTGAATACGAGTTCTGTTCTGAATGATCCAGGAGAGACAGGAGTCGTGGTGTAACACGTGAACCTACCAGTTCTGAGGGAGGATGCTGAAGGTCTTGGTGCTGAAGTCCCTGAACACTAACCGTCTCCGTTGTGTGTTTCCTCCACAGAAGTAGCTGCTGAGATCGGTTTCTCCGTGTATCCTCTGGGTGATGAGGAGAGTTCTGCCTACAGCCAGCTCAGTATGGAAAGTGAAACAGACAACTCGCGTAGCACGACCGACAACGGGAGGGAGGACGAGGGCAGAGCGGCCCAGTCCGAGCCCAGTTTTCCTCCCTACCTGTCCTGCCGGGGCTGCGGTCAGCTCCGAGACGAACCTCTGGGACCGGGCATAGACCTGGTCGGTCCGTACTGCCTTAGGTGCTGCAAAGCCTCCAGGGACGCCAAACCTACAGACTTCTGTTCGCCTTTCGGAAGCATCGGCGGGATTCGCCCCGGCTCCCATTCGCAGCTCGACTGTGACGGGCTGGGCAACGGGATGGGCGACAAGGCAGAGGACAAATCGCCCAAACTGCACTCGTGTCACCTGTGCGGCTTCTCCTCGCGTTACGCCAACCACGTGAAGCGTCACATGAAGACGCACAACGGCGAGAAGCCCTTCAACTGCCCTCTGTGCACTTACGCCTCGGCCCAGCTGGTGAACCTGCAGAGACACCTGCGCATTCACACGGGGGAGAAACCCTACAAATGCGACAGCTGCACTTTTGCCTGCAGTTCGCTCGGCAACCTCAAGAGGCACCAGCGCATGCATGTGCCCAACGCGGGGGCAGGACCGGAGCCTCCGCCACGACCTGCCCCCGGCCAAAACAGCCTGAAGAGACACGTGACTGGACAGAGGCCGAATGAGGAAGTGTCTGGCGCTTCAGGCAAGGGTATGTGTCGTTTCCCACGTTTTCGTCCACAATTAACTTCATATGTAATGTTTATGTATGAAAGACTCTTCTGAAAACTTTGATTAGTCATTTCATGTGTGTAAAATATGATCTCACTGTGATGTTTCAGAGGTCGCCAGGCCGACGTCGAACCTCAACTTGGGAGCCCAGAACAGCGACTACCTGTCAGCCTTCGATGGCTTAAAAGGAGCATCGCCGCCGCCGATTCCAGCCTCTAATCCCGCTCCCGGCCACCACCCTCCACCGCTGCTGGAGACGACGGGCAGCAGTAGCAGCAGGGCGACCAGAGGGGGCGTAGCAGACAGCCCCGCCCTCCCGCCGTCGCTCTTTCCTTTCACTTGCAGGTTGTGCGGCATCGTGCTGGAGGACGAGGACGGCTCCTCGGCGCAGATCTGTGCCAAGTGCACCCTTGAAATGCTGACTAAAGACTCGTCGTCGTCTCCCAACAGCCCCGGCGAGCGCAGCGACAAAGTGTACACCTGCGCCGCCTGCCCCTTCCTCACGCACTACCCCAACCACTTGGCTCGCCACATGAAAACTCACAGCGGCGAGAAACCGTACAAGTGCCCACAGTGCGACTACGCCTCAGCTCACTTCGACAACCTCAAGCGGCACCACAGGGTGCACACGGGCGAGAAACCCTACAAGTGCCATTTGTGCGATTACGCGTGCGGGAACCTGGCCAACCTGAAGCGCCACCAGCGGGTGCACTCTGGCGCCAAACCCTTCCAGTGCGCCGTGTGCAGTTACAGCTGCAACCAGAGCATGAACCTGAAGCGGCACATGCTGCGGCACACCGGGGAGAAACCGTACAAATGTCAGGAGTGCGGCTACACCACCGGCCACTGGGACAACTACAAGAGGCACCAGAAGAAGCACGGCCTGGCCACGGATGGCTGGGTCAAGGTTCCCATGACTGGAAACGACGGGGAGGAGGACAGGAGGAAAGGGATGGGAGGCGGAGTTCAGACTCACAGGAAGGAGGCGGGCGTTGATATGCAGTATATGCCAAGGGAGGGAGGTCAGACGATACACTCGTGCTACAAACTTGAGATTGTATAAATTATAACTCAGCAAAACTAAGCTACCAGCAACTCGACTTTCTTTTTTTATTTCCACAGAGCCTTTCTATCGTTTCAGTGTGTGTCGGTCTTTTTAGTGTTTGCGTCTTCTGAGGCTGCTAATTGTTTGTTTGTAGAATCTCGCACAAATATGAGAAACGTGTTCCGAGTATTTCGATGCCTTTATGGATTAAGTGAGTCTGTCCAGAGTGTTTCTCATGTCGAGACGAGTGGACTCCACCGACCGTGTGGGTCCTGGTCGCTGTCTTCTGTATGTTAGGCTAATTGTAACACCTCCCTCTCACAGATCAATAACATATCCTCATTCTGGGACGCTACCAAATATTCCTCATGACATGGATGCACACGTTTGCCTGGACTGTTGAAGCTGCACTGTGTAGTTTTATAAATGATAGTAAATATTGGGAGTTTTTTTTTTTTATTTTTAGCATAAACGCTCAATTTGATCCGCCTGAATGATTCCGTTTTGCCGTCTTCCCACGACTGAAGTATCGACTGACGTTTGGTTTCACGAGGTTGTGAATATTTGCTAATTTCTTCTCGGGCTACACGGTGCAGCTTTAAGCAACGACGGGTCTCCTTTTAAAGGACCTCGTTGTGCTTCGTTTGCTTTCGGATACAAGCTCTGGTAACGGCATGCCTTCAGATTAATGTATGTACTACTATCGAAGTGCTATTTAATAGTACTGGAATTGTTTTAGACTTGATGAAATGTATCAGTAAATTAATTTGTGTTATACTCACGACAACAAACCCGTGTTATCGTCCTTTCTGCCAAACCCACGAGGATTAGAAAAATCTCATTTGGAATGTTGGCGATGGGTAAAAAAAAGTATTTTTAACACTGAAATTGCACGAAAAAGCATTTCTAAAGTCTGTTTTCTGTCTCTGAGTGGTTGTACGGTTAAATAAAAAGCACAATCACACTCACGCGGCAGCATTTCGTCAGATTTAGGTGTGAAAAGCAGATTCATCTCTTGTCTCAAAACGTTTGAGCGTCTCGTTCACAGAATCCTCCCCCACAAACATATCAGTCATGTTTCGCCTCTTTTTGGGACGTCTTTCAGAGGGATGCCGTCTGACCGCCTCTGTTTTCATTACTGTTTACTATTTACTGTGAAATTAGCCCATTCTTGTGTTCTTGTTTTTTTTATTAATATATATATATATATATACTTGAAAAAAGATGACACTATTAGTAAGCATGTGAGTGTGTAATAGTCGTTTTATTTTTCTAACGTGGCTGTAATACACTGCTAGAAGTGCATACTTTAATATATAGAACGTTGGTTTTTTTTGTATTTCTTTGAATGTGTGACGTGTCATTTAGTCGCCATGGGAAAAATAAGAACTGTGATTTCAATTTAACTCTTTGTGAATGACTATTATATGCAAGTGAGATATTTTCCAGGTCGCCAACTTGCTGTGTCACGACGAGCGATGGATCAGCGCCGACATCCCGCAAGTGGCCGTTTGTGTCTTTATGCAGTGTCTCATAAATGCCTTAAGTGAGGATTTTGAAATAAATACATGGAATTCATTTCACTGAATGTCGGACATCAGGCTGCTTCTGATTTTTCTTTAAATGTCGTGACTTTTAACGCACGTGTGCACACACAGCTGACAGTCAAACAAACAGAACTCACGGCTGTCAGACGGTCAAAGGAAGTCAAAACATCAGATTCATCCTCAACATGTTTGTATGTTTAGTCTCTCTTATTTGTCAGATGAATTAAACCCGAGTCCAGCGAGTCTGTAGCATCGCTGCTGCATGTCGTTGGGTTTTATTAACCTGACATCAGCATTTAGTTTTTTTTAAATATCCCAGTTATGATCCACACCTCTGACGCAGAGCAGCTTCAAGTTCCTTATTTTGTCCTTCTGTCACGCAAACCTCGCTGCTCTCACGTCTTTTTTTCCAGCTGATTATAGCAAAAGACTAGAAAATGATCTATTATGCAACACAAAACATGCAAACGGCAGGATTTACGTTTATAAGCACAAGAGACGAAATAGTGACGATGCTCCTCTTGAGTAAATCTGCACCTGTTTGTTATGAATGTGTCAATAAGTTGTTTTTTTCTGCTTCTAGAAGAAATGAGGCAGAACATGATGATGCAGTAGAAAGTTAGACAGCCTACAAACCGGCCATGTGAGCATATAATTATTGTTTATTGAGTAACCAGAAGCTGCTGTTAGAAATATATGTTCACTGATGCAATTCTACAGTTTGTCCACAAAGAGGCAGTAACGAGACAACATACGGTCAACGTATTCATAGTCTTCCATTAAAGAAAAGGCAAAATTCACGACAATTTCAGCTTATTTCAGTGACTGAAGCTGTTATTTTTCTCCTTCTTTAATGGGAGGCTATGAACATATCTGAGGATGACTGCATATAGATGTAGTACATATACAGCATACATGACATACATTCACCTGTACATGTATGGATATTGTTATTAGACGTATATATTAGTCGTGATAAAGTATAAATATGCAGGTAAGAGAAAAAATCTGAGGACTTTTTTCCAGTTTCTGCCTTCATGAGCCCTCTTCTCTTCTACAGGACCTTAAATCTACTGATGCTGTGATTTACTGACTTTTATTTTAATGAGATTTTCTCACTGCTGCTGCTCATTAACGACGGCTCTGCTCTCCTCTAGTGTCACATTAAAGATCCTCCTCTGCTAAT